TGAGCAAAATTAAGGAACTTCTTTGCTCTAATTGAAATCCAAATTAACAAACCCAGACCCCTTCAAAATTGGAGGGGCTGAAGTGCAAATCCTTTTTTATAAAACACCAAACCCTTTATCATTAATTCCCCTTTTCCAATCAACCTTAATCATCAATTTCTTTCTTCAAAAATTGTTTGCAAACCCTAAACGAATTGGGTCAATTTTTTTACCCCATCTAGCCGCCAATTATGGCTCAAAATTCCGGCAACCTACGCCATCTTGTGCTTTGAAGGAAATCTAAATAAAATTGTTCATGAAAGGGAATTGCAACTCCTCGCGCCGCCCGTAATGGCACTGCTGCTTTCGGTATCTTCGACTCCTAAAACGACGTTTTTCTGTGTCCCTCTCCTTCTTCAACCTCATCTGCAACTGGGATACCATCAACGGCGTCGTCTTCGAAGGCTCTGTCGCTGCCTCTCAGAAGCACGAACAATAATGTCAATTGGTAGCAGTTTGAAGAAGCCAAAAAGGATGTCTTCTCGAAACATCCTACAGAATCCATTACCTGCAGCTTATCTACGTGGGCAACAAACCAAAATGTTATTAAGCTTAAAATGGAGATTATGAGATAATAAAAAACAGCCTTTTTACAGGGTCTCTACCTATTACCTATAGCTTATTTATGTGGGCAACAAACCAAAATGGTATCAAGCTTAAAATGGAGATTATGAGATAATAGAAAACTATGTTTTTACAGGGTCTCTCAATGTTTTGTAGTTGAAATTACCTTCGTTTTCATCCTCCTCTCTTGAAGTTCACTTAAGATTAGTCAATAGTTTTCCACCAAAAAAAAAAAAAGGAGGTTCAGACGTGAATTTTGTGTTGTATAAAAAGGGATTTGCACTTCAGCCCCTCCAATTTTGAAGGGGCCTGGGTTTGTTAATTTGGGTTTCAATTAGAGCAAAGAAGTCCCTTACTTTTGCTCAGTGACCATTTTTAAAAGTGACTGAAAGTTGAGTGACCGTTTGTGCAAGTTTTGAACTTCAGTGACCATTTTGTTATTTTGACGAAACTTCAGTAACCATTTGTGAAATTAACCCTATTCAATGAATACAACTCAACATTT